CCAATCAACTGGATCCCGATCAGCCGAGACATGCTATAGCTCGCCTGATGGAGGCCATCCATGGAGGAGAATGCGGTGCGCATATGAACGAAGTAATGCTAGCACGGAAGATCCTCAGATAGGGTTACTACTGGTCCACCATGGAGGAGGATTTGTGTCAGTTTTGTTCGGCGATGCCACAAGTGTCAGATCCATGGAAACCGCAGGAACATCCCGCCGTCGAAGCTGTACAACATGACTTCACCATGGCCATTTTCAGTTTGGGGAATCGATGTGATCGGGGCTGTCTCTCCAAAAGGGTCGAATGGGCATGAGTTCATCCTGGTCGCGATAGATTACTTTACAAAGTGGGTCGAGCCCCAATCATATGCCGTGTTGAAGGCGTCGCACGTTGCAAAGTTTATTAGAAATAACATCATCTGTCGCTACGAGGTCCCAAACGAGATTATTTCGGATAACGGTTCCCACTTCAAGAAGGAAGTGATTGACTTGTTGGAGAAATACAATGTGGCTTTTCATAAGTCGTCTACATACCGGCCGCAAACCAATGGAGCAGTTGAGGCCGCCAACAAGAATATCAAACACATATTGCAGAAGATGGTGGAAACCTACCGGGATTGGCCAGACAAGCTGTCGTTTGCTCTGTGGGGGTACCGGACTTCAATTAGAACTTCTACTGGGGCGACTCCGTATTCATTAGTTTATGGGATGGAGGCCGTTTTACCTATTGAAATTGAGGTTCTGTCTCTGCGAGTGCTGGCTGAGTATCAGATAGCCGAAGCAGATTGGAAACAGAGCAGATTTGAAGAACTCATGCTTTTTGACGAGCACAGACTGAAAGCACTGTACCATGTTCAAGGTTATCAGCGCTGAATTGCCAAGGCTTTTAACAAGAAAGTTAAGTCCAGGAATCAAAAAGAAGGAGATTTGGTGCTTAAGGACAATCGAGCTCCCATCCACGACCCGAGGGGCAAGTTCGGACCTAATTGGACTAGTCCCTACATCATCAAGTCTATCTGGTCAGGTGGAGCTGTGGTTCTAATGGACCTAGATGGCCTAGAGTTCTCGCAACCGATCAACATGGACAAGTTGAAGAAATATTACCCCTGAGAGGCTCGCTAGGTTGAAAACCCGAAAGGGCAACCTAGGCAAAAGTTAGAGCACAAAAACTGGCTGAGTGTCAGATAGCTGAAGCAGATTGGCAACAGAACAGATTTGAAGAACTCATGCTTTTTGATGAACGCAGACTGAAAGCACTGTACCATGTTCAAGGCTATCAGCGCAGAATTGCCCGGGCTTTCAACAAAAAAGTTAAGTCCAGAAATCTGAAAGAAGGAGATTTGGTGCTCAAAGACAACCGAGCTCCCATCCACGACCCAAGGGGCAAGTTCAGACCCAATTGGACTAATCCCTACATCATCAAGTCAATCTGGTCAGGTGGAGCTGTGGTTCTAATGGACCTAGATGGCTTGGAGTTCTCGTAACTGATCAACATGGACAAGTTGAAGAAATATTACCCCTGAGAGGATCGCTAGGCCGAAAACCTAAAAGGGCGACCTAGGCAAAAGTTAGAGCATTGAAAAAATTGGAAAATATAAAAACTGAGCTCGCAAGGTTGAAAACCCGTAAGGGGTGGCCTTGGCAAAAGTTAGAGCGTAAAAAGAGAGTGAAAATACTCGAGTGAACCTAAGCCTAAACTACGTAAGGCTTGATTCCCATCTTTGGGATACGTAGGCAACTTCATCTTGAAGTTCAGCCATAAACTTTTCCCCGATCAACTTTGTCCATTTGATCATCTCGGCTATCTTTGTCTATTCAGCATTTAAGAGTTCGGTTATGATCTTCGGTGCAGTGCTCTTCAGACTAGGGGCAACTTTCCGTTGCTGTGCAGTGCCACGGTACTCTTCAGACTAGGGGCAACTTTCCAGTTGCAGGGATCCGGGGTTGTGCATCTCAGTGACAGATTTCAGGCATGCCCAGTTCTGATTCCATATCGAAAATGGTTTTGAAAAGTTTTAATAAAAGTTGACTTTGTTCAAAATTAATCTTTTTACAACTTAGACCATTTTTGGACCAAAGCGGAAACTTTTCAGTACCCACAACCTTCAATTTCATTGATTTCAATACAAAGTTCTCCTGCTCTTGCATACAAATTGAAGTTGCTTTTTATTACATTCATAAGGAAAACTCGAAAGTACTAATAAAGCAATAAATTCGGGGCATGGCTAAGTCAGGTGTTCCTGCGCCCCCTCCTAGAGCTGGTCGAAGCCTCTGATGCCAAAGTGGGCCCTCCCTGTGCCTCTTCATTGAGCCAATCCAAGCACTCATAAGACAAGGTGCAACTGAAAGTAGAAGCAGGGGCCAGGAGTTCTCTAGTCCTCCATGCTGTGGCATACCGGGCAAGCTGTGCGCCTCGAACTGGAAATGCGGCAGGATACTCTATCCCCTTTGGCGGGCAAGTCTGATCATGACCGAACTGGCGCCGGAACCGGAACGGAAAGTACAACACACAGTGAGTCAGACCAATCAATTGGATCCCGGTCTGCCGGGACATGCTATAGCTCATTGCCAAGAGATTGAGCCAAGGACAGCGCCAAGCAATGCGATCTGTAGACAAATTGCGCATCCAGTCGAACCACCATCCCTCATCAAGGGCATCGACTAGTCGTTGTCGGAAGAAGTAGCCGCGAGCTGAGTAGGCTGGGCAAGAGTCCACAACCTGCAATTTATCCATCAACCATACCTGGGGAGGGATGAAAAATGAGAGAATAAAGAATAGAGAGATGTACGATGATAAAAAAGTAAGAAAAAGGGTTTTGTGAGAAAAAATGAGCCTGAAGGCCGAGTGATGTGAGCAATATATATGTGAGAAAGGGTGGGAAACATTACCCGCAGCAGTAGTGGACTCCCCTCGAATCTGCTCGTCTCTTAGCGATATAAAGCATCCAAGCTCATCAGCGTCTTGGCCAATGTCATGGCAATGCAGCTCTTTCCTTCTTTCAAGCCTTGAGCAACTTCAATTAGACGGATGCTAGATCCGCTAAAGCCCGGGGCAAGCAAAAAGTGAGATAGCATGCACAAGCAAAGGGCGTGTTGCCGAAAACCTTGCCAATGGTGGTCACCGCGGTTACCGGCATCAGAAAAACGATGAATCAAGCCAAGGATATCCAGCTCCTCGTTGCAGATTAGAGACCGAGCATCGTGCATGGTCAGCCCACACATATGTCCTAAAGCTTGGGCGTGACCGAAGCGAAGCTGGGACAACATCTCTACATGGCGTTCAGATTCCATCAAAACTTGAAAATCTTCGAAGGTCGGACACATCTCTTGCCCGCTGAAGCTAAAGACGTGTGTTACCGGATTCTAAAACCTCGCCGCAGCATAGAGGAACGGAATATGCAGCAAAGTACGGCTCAGCGTGAATAGTGCAATCAAGCCGAAGCCCCGGAAGTTCAACTTTTCCGAGCCATCTAGAGAAGCAATCCAAGCTGTGAGATTTTGGGTGAGAAATGCTTCCATTTTGGTGCAAAATTAAGATAAAATGAGAGAACCAGGAGGCTGGAGTTTTTAAGAGGATAAGGCACTGTTCGGAGGACACGTGTCGAAAATTTGGTGGTTGCCAAGCTAGGTGGCCGGCCGGCCACCTTTTCTGGCAGGCCGACCACCCCTCTCCCCTCCAATGCAAAAAGCCGGTCGGCCAGCTCCCTTAGGTGGTTGGCCATCAAGGGGAGGGTGGCTTTAGTCTTGTTCTAGCCTCTAGAAGAAAGTTCCAACCATTTCCATGCATTGGGGGCCTTAAAGGTGCGAGTTTTCCTCTGTTTCGGATGCGTTCCGTCACCCAGATCGTCCGAAATGCATTTGTTTATCGAATTGTTGTTAAATCCGGCTTATTGAGTTGTTGTTTTTGCTTATTGAGTTGTTGTTTTGCTTACCAAGTTGTTAAGTTTTGTCGAGTTGACAAGTTTTGTGTATTGAGTTGTTACTTTGTTTATCAACATTGTTGTGTTTTGCTTATCGAGTTGTAAGTTTAATCAACATTGTTGTGTCTTGCTTATCAAGTTGTAAACTTGCTAAGGTTCTGTTCTTTCTTAGTAAGTTAAGTTACTTTGTTTGTCGCGTCGGTTCACTACCTGACTTGGCAATTTTCAATGCATGATTTCCATTCAATCTCATTTTTGTGCAAAATAATGCGATGCGATGCAAGAACATAAAATACAACACTTTTTTGAACAAAAGCTGTTTCATTCCATCATGCTTCCTTTGTTATAACATTTTACAACAAGGGTACAAGTTTTACAGAAAATAAAAACTGCCTAATAATGTGCAATGTGCTACAACTACTAGTAAAAAAGGCCAATAAAGCAGGAACATATGTGCTCTCAAGCGCGAGAAAAAGAGGCCCTCTTCGTCCTCTTCTGCGGAACAGCCTTAGCACCATCATCGCCATCTGAGTCAGAGCTGTCATCCTCGAGATCCTCCTCGGCATCACCTCTGTCCTTAGAGCCAGACTCAGAGTCATCCTCTCTGCCAGCAGATGTCTCTGACTGACGATGCACGGACTCCTCCTCCTCACTAGACTCTTCCTCAATGATATGTTCTCTGCCCCCGCCTCGTCCGCGAGACGACTCCCCTTTCCCGGCTCTTCAAGAAGGCCTAGATGGCCCAGCTCCTCCGGAAGGCCCAGATGGCCCGGCTTGTGGTCCGGTATATATCGGAGGCATCTGAAAAGAAAGAGTGCAATTTGAATACATCAGCCAAAATATGTATATCAGATGTACAGATAAAAAACTACACGGAGTGGATGTGTGCAAATATAGTACATGGATGTGGTGTGTGTCAAATGTGCTCTCCGCATACAGTCGGTCAATCAATGCAGTGAAATGTTCAAATTCAGCATGTCATCAGAAATATGATAAATGCAAGAAAACTAAACAGTACCGAGACGCCCATGATGGACAGCTGCGCCTCTCTCCGCAAGACCACGCCTTCGAGCGAGGCCACTAACCCGAGTAACCCCTCAGCATACTCTGTGGTAGGCTGCGGATGCAAGTGTAAATCATCAGTGAATGAATGAATGTCCAAGTATCTGAGTGATAAAGCAAAGCTGTAAAACATACCGGTGGTGAGTCAGGGTCTCTGGTGTATGGATGATTTGGCAGAGGAGGCTCTAGCGGAATTGGGTAGGAAGCCCCGTATCTCCATCCCGTCAACTCAGTCGGGATACCTGGCCATCCGACATCATGATAAGTCAGGGGAATCGGGGGGACCAGTCCAGCCCCACCTCTGGATGTGCCAGCCCTACCGGCCGAAGGAATGTCTCTGGCTTGGGTGCGACTCAAAGACGGCATGCCGGTAGACCTCCTCGAGGGAGTACGAACACCTGTCAATGGAGGCATCAAGTAGGTGTGACGGTTGGTCGCGTACTCCCCGTCCTCCAAATACAGCAGTGCATCAATGCCTAGCCTGGCATCAATGACACCCTGGGGAGTAAGCCTATCAGCGAGCCGCATATCGTCTGGGGGTGCTGAAGGGACACTCGGCTCAGGGAAGCCCATAGTCTGACGAAGAAAGTGTTCCCCCAGGAACCAGGCCCTACCAACTGGCCCCTCGAACAAGATCCTATACCGGGAGGAGGCCCATCCTCCAGCAAACTGGAAACGGAGATCCTCACCCAGAGGCGCCCAGGGCTGCCATAAGATCTGCAGATAGCTAATGCATAAGCTGATTAGAAATCGCAAATGTGCAAAATGAATCAAAGATCAACACATAAAGAACTGAGAGTTCTGACATACCTCGGTCGTCCGCACGGTGTCAAAATACTGCCGCTGGTAAGGGAGAGTCTCCTGGGGCCGCGACCGGTACTGGCCCTCGAAGACGAGCGAATAAGGGGTCATGAGAGGGGCCTCCACCTCAAGCTCCGGGGCTAGCGTCGAAAAGTACGCGAAGACCCATAACTGTGGAAAACAGGGCAAAAGCCAACAGGATACAGAATGCTGAATGCAGAATTTGAATACAGAATAGTGAGGGCAGAATGTAAGTACAGAATGTAAAGTGTGCCGTGTGTGCAATGTACAGATAATGAAAAACAAAAATGTGAATCAAGAGGGCTGAAGGTACCTTCTAGGCTCTCCAATAGCCGCTGACTATGTTCCTCCGTCCGCGGGAGGTCGCACTCATATAGCAATAGAGGGTAGCCAAGCTGGCGCCACCCCAGTCATACTGACTAACCTGTGTGAGGTCTACCAAGGCACTCAGCAAATATAGCCCAACTGTGTTCCCCCTGTCGGCGAATAGAGTGGTCCCGAAGAGGAACATCAAAAACCCGCGGGTGTATTGTGCAACCTCCTCAAGAGTCTCGGCTCAGTCCCCCTGAACTATGCAGAAAACCAAGTATATCGGACTCAGCCCGAAGATCAGTCTACCGGTGGGCGAGCTCCCAACAAATGAATCTAGGCAGCCTCCCAGTCGCCCATGTCCTCGTCGTAAGGGATCGCCCAGCCTCCCACGTCAAGGCCCGTCAAAACGGCGAAGTCAAATGGGGTCATGGTCATGTCCCTGGCGGCTAAGAAATGGAAGGAGTTGGTGGTGTCCCACCATCTCTCCACCAGAGTGCCCATCAATGTCCGGCTAGCTAGATAACGAGATATCCCGGTATAAAAGGTCCCGAATCCTGCCAAATCAACCCAATTACGGACAGCCTCCGGGAGCTCCGCGTACCAATCTCTCGCAGCAATAGAACCGTATCCCCGTGTAACGCGAGTGTATGTCTGCATTCATAACAAACACATGTATTCAGTTTCAGAATAGAATGAATAAGCTGTGTGCAAATGAAAAGATAGGAGCTGTGTGCAAATCAAATCAATTTTCAACAAATGTGGGCTGCATGTTCACAATCAGAGTTTGGGCTACGTGTTCAACTTTCAATCAAATGTGGGCTGCGTGTTCACCAATAAATTTGGGCTGCGTGTTCAGATTTCAGAAATTTCAAGTTTGGGTTGCTTGTTCAACTTTCAATTAAATTTGGGCTGCGTGTTCAGATTTCAGAAATTTAAAGTTTGGGCTGCGTGTTCAACTTTCAACAAATGTGGGCTGCGCGTTCACAATAAGAGTTTAGGCTGCGTGTTCAACTTTCAATTAAATGTGGGCTGCATGTTCACCATCAAATTTGGGCTGCGTGTTCAGATTTCAGAAATTTAAAGTTTGGGCTGCGTGTTCAACTTTCAATCAAATGTGGGCTGCGTGTTCACCATTAAATTTGGGCTGTGTGTTCAGATTTCCGAAATTTAAAGTTTGGGCTGCGTGTTCAACTTTCAACAAATGTGGGCTGCGTGTTCACAATTAAATTTGGGCAGTGTGTTCAAATTTTAGTGATTGAGCTGTGTGTTCAAGACGGTGTATTGTGTTATAGACTAAGCATGCAGAACAAGTTGTGTGCTAAAATGAACAGAAGTATGGCATGCGAATGTGTTCAGAACGAGCAATAAGCATACATAACATGAAATGCAAGGAAAATGCAGAATAAAGGCAGGAAATGTAAAAAAGTGAAGTACATACCTCTCGCGCTTCATGAGAGAGATGGGACTCCGGCTCACGCAACAGCAGGTCTACAGGAGCTCCAGGGTCGAAGTCGGTAAAATGATAAAAAATCGCTCGAGGGAGGACATGAGTCGAAGGATCGTACCTCTCGGGGATAAAAGGGCGAACTCTTGGATGCAAAGACATGATGTCAGGCTCGCCTCCGGCGCCTGGAGAACCTCCGCCGTGGGGAAATTGACCCACCATTTCAAGAAATCTGCAAAAAGGAGCAAAAATGAGCCAAAATTGGAAAAAGTCAACAAAAGTTAACTCTCGGGAAATGAAAAAGTCAAAAAAAGTCAACTCCCGAGAAAATCTTCCAAATATTGAGACAAACTTACCTCAAGTGGTGAAAATGAGAAAAGAAGCTCCGAAATCAAATTTTAATCGGTTCAAAATGAAGAGAACTGAAAGTTTTCATGAAACAACTTGGCGTGGGGCGTTAGAAAGCGCGTATAAAGAGCAGATCTGAGAAAGAAAATGGTCTAGGAAGGAGGAGAAGGCAGTTTCGGATCTGAAGTTATGAGGAAAAGAGCTTTGGACATGTATATTTAAAAAAATGGGAGCAAAAAGACCAAACTGCCCCGAATTTGGGCTAGGTGGTCGGCCGGCCACCTTTTCTGGTAGGCCGACCACCCCTTGCACTCCAACCTGGTCGGTGGCCTCCCCTGGACTCCAAACCTGGTCGGTGGTGTTCCCAAGGTGGTCTCCAAGGT